TTTCCTGAACTCATTGAGATCACCAATCTCCATCTGTCCTGCCACCTCTCATGAAGCATCACTACCTTCATTTCTCACTTCCCTCCTCATCCAACCTAGATTGTGTGGTCCAGCTCTGTTTCCTCTTCCTTGGAAAATACCCCTAACCTCATTGCTTTTTTCTCTCTCTGTTTGGAAAAAGCTAAACCTAGTTCATCCCAAATTTTCCTTTGCTCCACTCTTGCAACCAAGCTGTGATGATTGCTGGAGATTAGTGCAGACTGTGGAGACTGGATTGACCTTCAAATTTATGACTGCAAATCTTAAATAAGCAGTCAATGTTGCCCAGTTTTATATGGCATCTATCAGCAAAGGTGTTAGCTGTGTTTATCCTATTCTAGCAATATAAAGGTGGACACATGACCTAAGAAAAGCCAACCAGAGTCTTTCCATGATATTTGATATGTGAATATCAGGTGAGGGTTTCTTGCTGTAAAGATGAAGAAATAACTTTCCTAAAGAAGAAGCCAATATACGAGGGAAGGAGGACAAAGAGTTGGAGAGAGAAAGTGTGAACAACATCGAGCTCTGGATCCAGCCATTGAGCCAATACATTCCTGATTGGTGGTGTTGGGTTATTGTGGCTTTAAATAGAAAGATTCCTGACTAATAGGGACTTCAGGGCAGGGGGAGTGAAGATAAAGACAGGGGATTGATTTGAGAACTATTTAGGAGGCAAAACTGATAAGACTTGTAATTGAATGTGAGAGGTGAGGCAGAAAAGATAACACTGAGTTTCTGCCTAGAATGGATGAAAGAGAGAGCAAGAATATAGAAAGAGGAACCAGGTTTGGAGGAAGACGATTAATTTGGAGTATGTTGAATTGAGGTATGTCTGGAACAGATGGAGATGTTTGGTAGGCAATGTGAAGCTTGGAGGAGATGTATGTGGCTGAGACATGATTATGGATATTGATATAAGCATAGTGATGTTGATGGCAGTTGAAACCGTGAAAGGATAGAATCAGCTTGGAGAGAGTGTAAAGTGGGAAACACCAACATTTATGGACCAAGTGGAGGAAAGGAAGCCCTGAAGACAGAGAAGCAAGGATCAGAGAGGTATGAAGAGAACAAGGACAATGTTGTCACATAGCAGTCAAGAGAATATAGAATGTCTCAAGAGAGATAGCATGACTTTGTCAAATGCAGCAGAGAGTTCCAGTAAGATAAGTACTGAAAAATATCTATAAGACTTGGCAAAAAGGGTGCCGTTGGTGACCTCATTAAGGTCAGTTTCATCACATAGTGGGGGAGATGCTAGAAAGCAGTGAGTTGAGAAATGACTTGGAGGTTAAGCGCCATCAATGAGCATTCTTGAGGAGTTTGAATAGGAAGAAGAAGAAAGAGATTGGAAGTTGCTAGAAGAGGATGAGGGCCTAGGAAGAATTACATCTTAGGATGGGAGAGACTTGACTAGAGGAAGAAGCTAATTGAGGAGAGGCTGAAGACACAGTTGGAGAGGAGGATTATTGAGAGTGGAAGGGGATAGGGTTAAGGGGTCAAGGGATCCCACTGACTTGAAAGCAAGGACACCTTACTCTCTGAAACTGGAGGAAAGGAAGCAAGTGTGGGTGAGGGTAGAGATACATGTTTGGTGGTAGAATATTTAAAGAGCTTGTGGCAGATATCTTCAAGGAATCAAGGTTCTGCTCTAAGTGGAGAGATGTGCATTGAGTGGGGCTTGAAGAGAGCAGTGAAAGTGTAGAAAAATCATTGAGAAGATTTGACAAAGGGTGAGTGAAAGGCTCGTGGGCCCAGCTGAGGGAGGCTGGAGCCCATAACTCTGTGGTGTGCTCCTCTGTGGGACTGTATGACCTTTCCCAAGAGCTCTTGTTCACTCAGGTGAAGGCTTGGGAAGGAAGAGATTCTGGGATGGATTTTTCTGGGTAGTTTCAGAGCCTGGATGGTGCACAAGGGAGTCAAGAGTGTTGGGGGAATTCTTGATAAGGTTTGGCAGCAAGTATAGTGGGAGTGAGGGAATGAGCCATGGTTCGAATGTAGGGTTTAAGTTTAAGGTTCTTGAGGCAAAGCAGTTCCAGGTAATGACAACACTAGAGTGTGGCCATGAGAATGGTGGCTGTTGTGGCACTGGTGGAGGTGAGGGCCATGGGCATAACAATGTCCAGTCATGGCCGGGCTAGGGTGGAGGATGGTTTTATCCACCTGGATGGGATTATGCCTGGGATGGTGGCAGAAGCTGGGCTGCAGAGGAAGACTGCGAGGGAGTGACTGGGAGACGAGGAGATCGTAGTGGGTAAGCATCGCGGGCTAGGGGGCATGAGCCTCAGGAAGGTGAATTTTAATGGATGCTTGCCACTGACAGGCGCTGTGCCAAGAGTTTGCACTTATTTTCACATTTCTTCTTCTAACAACACCTCAGTTAAGCACCATTATTATCCCCATTTTGCTGATGAGGGAAACAAAACTTTGAGAACTTTGAGAGGCTCAGGGACTTTCTGAAGCTCAGACAGTTGGGTGGAGATGGAGCTTTGACGTGACGGTGGAAGAACAGGAGTCTGAAGGGGCAGTGGGGAGGCCGACTCTCCTGACCTTGTAAGTGGGTGAGGAGTGTAGGGGTGGCAGCCTCCCCATATTGAGTATCAGGGCAATGGTGTCCTCAGTGTTGAGTTAGGTTTTAGTTAAGTCCAGAAGGAGAAAAGGAGCACGTATTTAAAAGTCTGAGGATAGAGGGGAGTTTGATTATTGTGATATGGAGAGGAAATACGGGGATAGTATGGGAGCAGAAAGAAGACAGTGGAGAGAGACTTTCCTTAGTTTGGTGACAAAGGATCACAGAGTGAGAGGCCAGGGTGAAGAAACCTGCTATAAATATCCTAACTTTGGGACAAGTTATTTGGTCCTGGCTCTGGCTAGGAGCTCCGGGAGATTCTGGCTGGCCTCGGTGGGGAGATGAGTCAGTCACAAACTGCAGAGAAGTGTTATGGATGCAGCCATATGGGGATAGTAGGGTCCCTGATTAGGGGAGAGGCAGGGTTGTCTTTTAGTGCCTAGTGCAGTGTGAAGGCACCAGTTACTGGGCAGAACCAGGGCCTTCAGTGGAGCTAAGAACAGACTCTCTGAAAACAAACTCTGGTTTGTAGCATTTGCCAATGTCTGTGGTGCAAATACTCCCACCATAGCCGGTTTCAAGTTTACAGCATGACCTCACTTGAATGCAAAGTTGGCAAGAGGTGTGTAGAATCTGGGCTCTCGGCAGCTGGTGCAGGAGGGCTCCAGCACAATGCTGGCTGGGCCAGTCTTAGGCCCTCCATCTGAGCAGCAGAAAAGTCTAGGTTGTGTAGCACCGAAAACACTGCGGCAGGGGGCAGGCTTTCAGAATGCGGCTGGGCCTTGTTCTGGTTCCTAAATGTAACAAAGCACTGAGAAGGATGAGAAGTGGGTGATCCATTTGGGGGAATCCTCATGGATTGGGGCCCTAGGCTATGATAGGGCGGGATCTAGAGGAGACTGTGCAGTCTGCAGTAACTGGGCAGGACTCTAAGCCCTGCCCTCTGCCCTCTCTGGGACTCCCTGGATGTATGTCTGCCTTTTGTCCCACCATGCTATTCTATTCTATGTAAACACTTTCAGATCTATGCATTTATGGTGAGCAAGAGTCTGGCAGCTTCTCCCAAATAATTTCTTTGCCAAATAAGCTGGGAAATGATTGCAGTCAGGTTAATAAAATTTCAAGCATCCATGGAATTCATCCATGTGAATTATTAGTTTTCATCTATAAGGAAAAAAATCCTCTATTCTGCATGAACCTTAATTATTAGGATATTCATGCATATTAGAGAATGATTTCAGGAAAAGGAGATGGTGAAACTAATAGGGAAGTAAGCCATGACAGGGGATAAATAAAATAAGTCTGAAATATTTTCCTCACCAAATTAAAAAGATGTCAAATATAAGCCAGTGCACTTTCTGGGTGCATGTTCCTAGTCTGTGCATCCTAGCTGGGTGAAGACGACAGTCTGGATGTACGATATTAATGTAGAACTTTTCTCGTGATGGTATGCGTTAGTACACAGAACTCCTGATATATCACAGAGCTCTCGATACGTGAGTGTTCCTACCTCTCCTGACAAATTTGAAGAGACCACAGCATTCACTGCCAGTTCACGAGTTGATCCACATCATGTGCCACCCCCAAACCCAGCAACTCCTCACACTTTTGTAGTATAACCACCAAGAAGCAGGAGGTTTCTTTATCCTTCTTTTTCAAGTTGTCCATTGACCTAGTCCTGGCATTCTGGGAAGATATCATGGATCACGACTCAAGAGAAGAGGGAAGAGGAAAAGGAAATAGGAGAGTGATTTCACAAATTATCAACATGTAATACCTCGTTAAAAAAAAAAACCAAGGAGTTTTATGGTTTCTTTCTCAAAGGGAGAGAAGGGGCGAGTTGAGCTACCTCCGTAGAATACCCGTCTGTCGAAGTGCTTATGGTGATGGTGTTTCGTGATTCTCACAGTGGCTTTATATTTCCTAGCTTGGATTCCCCCTGTTTGGGGGCCACTTTGAGGCTCATCAAATCCCAATCATATCAGATTTAGTAACCTGTCATTTTGCTATTCTGCCAACCTTTATTTATTTATAAATAATATCCTAGTTACATCCACCCTCCCAAAGGGATTGACTTATTGCCAATGAAAGAGGGAGTTATAACAAAAATAGAGCCATTAGGACATGACAGGGAATGAGAAATTGGCAGATGGCTGGGCATCAGAATAATTATTTATGTTGAAAAACCAAAGAAAAGGGAAGCTACCACAATTGAGCCAAAACCTATCCTTGAACTCCCTGGCAGTCAAGACAAAAAAGGAGCATGGTGTCCACCTCTCTACTACACTCACCACTAAAATCTCACCACTAAATACTCTAGCAGAGTAGGGTGAACGGTAGCAGGCTGGCAAACACACTTTCCGTGGGCCTTCCTCTGCACCAAGACACTTACCTGATAATATGGATGCAACGGCTGCAATGATGAAGGACACAATGACGCCAGGTCCTGCCATTTCCTTGGCCACCAGGCCAGAGACCACATACATCCCGGTGCCCACGCAACTGCCAACGCCAAGTGAGATGAGGTCGACGGTGGTGAGCACCTGGGCTAACTTGGTGCCATGTGGTGTGGTGGCCCCAGTTCCCTCCAGCATGGATTCCACTGGTTTGGTACGCAGGATCCTGGAGTGCATGGCGTACCAGGCAGCCCCCCACTGCACCCGCCGGGGGTCCAGGGAGGCGAGGAAGCCACTCATCCTGAGTGATAGGGGTGGTGGTGAAGGTCAACTGATAGAAGACGGCTATGGAAGCCTTAGTGGATGCTTCTGGAACTCATCTGGTGAACAGAGATCTCCCTTTTAGCAAAGGTCCAAAGGGACCCAAAGCAGCCTTCTCCTGGGCATGAACGTCTGTAGGAAAAACACAAGCAAGGAGAAGATGAAACCAAGTGGAAAGCAAACCATCATTTGGAGGCATGGTTGGAGGTCCTTGAACTAGTTTATCCTGTGTACTCATATGGGGGAGAGTTGCATTTCCCCCTTTGTGTCCCCTCTAGTCTTAAATGACAACCTGCAGTTTGCACTATGTTGCATAGTCATTCCGAAGAGGATGGTCTGAGTCAGGGCTCTGCCACACTGCTCTGGGAACTTGAGTAAGTTACCTCACTTCTCTGTGCTTCAGTTTCAACTGTATAACAGGAATAATAAAGCCTCCTGCCTAGTGTTGATGAGAAGATTCAATTAATGTATGTCTAAAAAGAGCTTAAGACAACGTCTGGCACACAGAAAATGCTCATCTGTCCAAACTCTAAGTACTTCTCAGCTGGATCTGCCAAGACTTGGTCTGTGATTCTTGGGCATATTCTTTGGGGACACAGTAACCTCATTTTTTACATAAGGATATAAAATTAGATCTATGACTCTCAAGAGGGACAGTGCCACCCCATGGGGTTCTTTTAGAACTTTGCTCTCAATGAAATGTAAAATGTTTTGAGCATTTTTCGCTCTCCAAGATTGGAGAAGGAAGAGTGCTCCTGGTATTTGGTGGGTGGGCCCCAGAGATGCTAAATCTATGGGATGGTGCCATGCAATTTTCAAATGTCTCATCAGACATTCTTGTAGATGAAAATTCTGGTTATGATGATCTGAACCTAAAACCTAACTCTACTTGACATAAAAACTCATGGGGTATTTTTAGATGGTTTTAATATATGAGTACATTGAATTTTCGAGGAATGCAATTATAGAATAAATTGAAGGGGAAGATTGTAACTTCTTTAGTTTGGAACTTAAGAGGAGTTCTTCACCATTTCAGAAAACCAAGGTCCCCATGGCAATGCCACCCACGGTACTGCATCTCCAACCAGCGCACCTGCAACAGCCTGCCATTTGGAACAGGCCCATTTGCAGTGATTCTGCATATAGCACAAGCATCTGACAACTTCATCTGGACGTGCCTGAATGTTTACATACTGAAATATGTTATATACAGGTAGGTTATCCATGAATTTCGCTTCAGAATATTAAAGGGGGGGGTGTGACAAAACACATTACAAAAAAGAGGTGTTGGATCAGATAGAGTTGAGAACTATTGTATTAGATGATTTCTAAAGTTTTGTTAAGTTAGAAAATGCAAAGATTATATGAAACTGCTTTCTTTGGAAGCCAGAAGCTTTACAAAATTCTATAAAGAATGTTTAAAGTACAGCTGAACATTGATTTCATGTACTGTGCTGATAAGCCTAGGACATTTACATTTATATAAGTACCAGCCTGTGTAATTTACCAGTATTATTAATTAATACAACTTAACACTTAATGTAACATTTGTATGCTTCTAAAGCCTTTGCAAACACTATCTAATTAGAAGAATCAGGTGAAATGTGGCAGTTTGGTTCACAGGGGTTGGTGACAGCCCTACTGGTTTAATTTCCTTCTAGATTTGACAGTGTTTATTCATACTGTGTTTTAATTCTTGACAACACCTTAAATATCACTGCTGTGTACACCAGAATCATTTAAAAGCCTAGACTGTCAGCATTCTTTTTTCTTTAAAGATTTCTAGATTTGTGAGAAAATGCGTCACATGTATACCAGGAAGGCTGTAAGAACATTGCTTTGCTTGAACTTTTGAGCTCTTGTGGGGAAACTGATGTATATCCCTATTTAATTTCAACTCAGTCACCAGGTATTGAGCATCTGTTGTGTGCCAGGCACAGTGTTAGGTCTGGGGGTGCAAAGACGTGGTCCCTGCCCTCATGGAGCTTCCAGTCTAGAATGAGAGATGATGGACACCAACATCACAATGCAAGAGAGAAGGATTTTTTTCTGAAAAGCTTGTCTTTCATTCTTTTTCTTTTTTTTTTTTCCTGCTTTTTTCTTCCCAAATCCCCCCAGTATATAGTTGTATATTTTAGCTGTGGGTCCTTCTAGTTGTGGCATGTGGGATGCCGCCTCACCGTAGTCTGATGAGTGGTGCCATGTCTGTGCCTAGGACCAGAACCTGGTGAAACCCTGGGCTGCCGAAGTGGAGCGTGCAAACTTAACCTCTCGGCCATGGGGCAGACCCCATATTATTTTTCTTATTAAAAAACCATAGCATGTCTATTGCATAAAAATCAGACAATGTAACAATGACACTCAGTGAGAAAAGACAAGACAACACAATACACAGATGGATAAATAAAACTAGCTTGTTCCAGAGAGGTATAAGGGCTGTGTTATGGGTTGAGTCATGTCCCCCCCAAATCTGTATGTTGAAGTCCTAACCCCTAGTACGCCAGAACGTGACCTTACTTGGACACAGAGTCATTACAGACGTGATTAGTTAAGAGGTGGTCATACTGAAGTAGGATGGACACCTAACCCAATATGACTGGTGTCCTTATAGAAAGAGGAAATTTGGACACAGAGCCACACACAGGGAGAATAAAATGTAAAGACGAAGGCAGAGATCAGGTGATGCATCTACAAGCCAAGGAACACCAAGGATTGCCAGCAAACCACCAGAAGCCAAGAGAGAGGCAGGAACAGATCCTCCCTTGCAGCACTCAGAAGGAACCAACCCTGCCAACACCTTGATCTAGGACTTCCAGCCTCCAGAACTGTGAGACAGTCGGTGTCTGCTGTTTCAGCCACTCAGTTTGCCGTGCTCTGTTACAGCAGCTCTAGCAAATGAATACAGGCCATAAAGGAAATCAGACAGAGTGATGAAGGGGCGAGAGGGTCTCCGTGGTCATGGCTTTGGCTCCTGAGGGACAAGAAGGGGTCAGTGAAGAGCATTACTGCAGAGCGGGTCCAGAGGGGAGAAGAGGGGAGGCCTGTTCCGGGAACCGAGTGAGACTGGGACAGAGAGAGGAGGAGTCGTGTTCGAGCTTTCTGCCTATTGACTAATTTAATCCTTGTAACAAATCTACCTTTACAGATGAGGCAGTGGGGGCCAGGAGAAGTCCAGTAACTTCTCCGAAGAGAGGGAGCCCATAGGGGCAGAGCCAGCACTTGGCCCTGGTGTGGCTGTTTGCAGAGCTCATGTCCTTGCTCTCTGCTCTCCTGCCTGAGGTGCCCAGGGTCAGAGTGCTGGGGGTCTTGCAACCCAAGACGAGGGGCTCGAGTTCACTCTGAGTGCAGTGGAAAGTGATTGGGGGGTTTTATTCAGGTGAGTAACATGATATGGTTTTCGTTTTTAGTAGCTCATTGTAGCGTCTGTGTGCTTTACTGAATCATGCCCAATGATAAATTAGTCCCAGGATGGATGTGAAAAGCGAGTGAAGTGTGGACCTGCTGCTGAGGGAGGCAGTGGCTCTCCGTCTTGGCTGCACAGTGGAATCACCCAGGAATCTTTCAGAAACACCGGTGACTAGCCCGCATCTCAGAAATCCCAACTTAATTGGTCTGAGGGGTGGCCTCGATACAGGGATTCTTGAAAGCTCCCCAGGCGATTCCAGCAAGGCAGAGTTGGGGTCTGCTGCTCTTTGCCCCCAGCAATGACTAAGTGCCGGTGTGGAAACATGATATTGCCTGTGATGGTTAATTTTGTGTGTCACTCTGACTGGGCGAAGGGACGCCAGATTGCTGGTAAAATATTATTTCTGGGTGTTTCTGTGAGGGTGTCTCTGAAAGAGATTAGCATTTGAATTGGTAGCTTGAGTAAAGGAGATAGATCTCCTCAGTATGGGTGGGCATCATCTGATCTGTTGGGGGCCTGAATAGAACAGAAAGACAGAGGAAGGGTGAATTCACTCATGCCGCTTGAGCTGAGACATCCATCTTCTCCTGTCCTTGGACAATGGTGTTCCTGGTTCTTGAGCTTTCGAACTTAGACGGGGACTTACACTATCGGCTCCTCAGGATTCTCAGGTCCTCCAACCCAGATGGAATGACACACCAGCTTTCCTTCTCCAGCTTGCAGACAGCTGATTGTGGGACTGCTTGGCCTCCATACCATGGGAGCCAATTCCTGTAATAAATCCCCTTGTCTATATCTGTATACATCCTGTTGGTTCTGTTTCTCTTGAGAACCCTCACTAACACATTGCCACTCTCCACACAGGACCAAGGTCTGACGGATACTTCCTGTTTCTCTCCCAGTCGGGCTTCTCGGCAGCTCTATAGTGCAGGCGGTATTATGGATGCTGTGGTGTCTGGAGCCAGCCTCTGGGATACTCATCCTGATCAGCCTCCATCAGAAACTATCACAAGGACACTGAGAAATTAACCAGGCTGGTTAGGGAGGTGACAGCTTCTACCTGATAGATAATTAGAAACATGGTGAGAACATAGAGAATCAACTAGAAAAAAGGTTGAGGGTGCGAGAGTTCCTTCCTGGCTCTCTTCCCTCCACGTCATTCCTCTGAGTGCTTGCTTTATTGATGCAAACAGGGGCTTGGGGGCCTCTCCTTTCTGGGTTGGAAATTTACTGGAGAGAACAAAATGTACAAAAGAAAACATGCTTCTAGTGACTATTGACAATATCCATATTCATTACCCCAGATTATGTTAATCAAAGATAGTTTTGGAAGCTCATTGCTGTTGTCTTTCCAAGATGAGCAATAAATGTGTGTTGTGCTTTCTTTCTCACTTTAATTCAAGCTTCTCAAAATACTTCACAGCTATAACTAAGGAAGGCTTACCGGCCGCTGAGAGAAGAGAGTCATCATTGCGGTGTTTGCCGGCGTGCCTGAGGGTTCACTGGGCTCCAAGTATAATGACAGTAAAAGCAGGTTTGTGTAAGGATGAAAATAATTATGGCTTAGAAGTTCACTGAATAGGTAGGATTATCGAATTAGGATGGAGTCTACTTTTGGAGGTGAGGAGAGGAAGGAAACGGAGGCTGACAAAACAGCAAACAGCCAAAAACCATTCCTGCCTGATTTTGTAAATATACAAAGGGATTACAAGAATCCCTGCATGAC